TGTGAGCACGTGGCCACGTCGAGACCGTCCACATAAATCACAGTGTTGAGCGTCTCTAATTGGCTCCTCGGGTATGCGCGCACGTGCGGGCTTAAGTGGAGAGGAGGCGGGGGGAGGGGTAGTTTTACAGCCTGACTAAAGGTAGAATATCCTACCACGGGTAGTGTTTGTGTGCTAGTGTGTGCTTAAAAATCGATTCTCCTGCTGCTGTAGGTGGATGTACGAAGTGCCGTCCAGTAAGAACATCTAAAGGTGAAGGTTTAGCTGCTTCAACTGGTCACACCTCAGCTCCATCAGTGATGCCATCAAAATCAGAGTCCAATCCACACCAGCTCCACCATCATCACTCACATTTCCACACAAAACCTGTTAGACTGAGCAGTGTGCTACCTGTTTACTGTTCGATTACCATAAGACAAGCATGCACGTGTTTTTGAAACTTTGCAGTTCATAGTGATTCTGGTTGATTTGTTTGATGTTTGGCCTTTTTATTTTAATTTTTTTTTGAAGAAAACAAGAAATTATGTTGTATATTTTTTTGGTAAATTGAGGTATCGTTCAGTTCATCGTTCATTTTGTTTGTAACAGTGTGTGTCTACTGTTTGGTGTTTGGCCAGCAGTGTTCAGTAACAGTAAAACTGCAGCAAATCAACGAGATGAGCTCACTACAGCTCAGGAAGCTCACGGATTCAGGCAGTAGTTCGCTTGTGGGATAGCAAAAAGCAAGGAAAGCACTCACCTGTAAATCTCCCACACCTTGATAATGACTCTTCATAGATAGATCGATAGATAATGTATTTATCCCCAAGCAGAAATCAAATATCCAGCAGCTCAATTTAAAAACAAACATCTCTCCAGTCATAAATCAACAGATTACCTCCTATCTCCCAAAATGACTCAAAAAATGATGGGTTTATTATTTCACCTATTTAGCTTTGTGCATGGTCTGTGACATCATCTTCAAGCCCTGCAAGGGACTTTAAATGTGGCGTATGGATGATGCAAATCCAAACTAGAAAGGTGGATGTTGGTGGGTTTTGGAGCTATTGTGTGGAAAGGTGGAAATGTACCATTGTTGACACTTTGGAGAGCCTGTGGCGTGCGTGTAGTGGTGGTGGTGGGGTTCCCGTTCTCGATTGCTTGGTAATTGTTTTGTTAAAGCAGCGTTTAATAACAGAGTCAGTTTCCATCAGAGTCAGTTACCATGGAGATGAGGGCTTTCCTGCTCTTCCATTCTGTGCGCCTCCTCCCATCACTGCTGTGTGAGATTCAGCTTAGCAAAATTAATGCCGTAAATGATTGCAAGGTGCCTCTTAATACATATTCTTATGTCATTCACATACATGCGGAGCGATGCAGTAAACTTTCAAGGGCATTATTTGTTAATATTAAAGCGAATACGGCTGTTTCTTCAAACACATACGAGCACATCTTTCCACAGACCCCCACTGAGGCTTTTTGTTGTAGCTCTCATCCAGAATCTCACCCACATATATCGAAGGCTTCACTAACAAGAGCGAGGACTCGCTGTGCACCCAAACCAGTGAAACGTGAGGCAAGGCTTTGCTTCAGTCAGCAAAACTGCATGGGAGGAGCAAAGAAGACGGGGCTGTTTAACTGCACGAAACAAAAACAAAAATAGCTTAAATAAGATGATTAATGCAAATATTATTTGGTTAAATACATTATGCAGACATTTCTTGTGGATCAAAGAATAACAAAGGCACGAAGCAGGGACAACAAGCAACCTGTTTCTCAAAATATAGAACTGAAACAGGTGGTTAGTGTTTACCCTCATACATTTGATTGGAAAATCAGAGCTTCCACAGGAGTAAATGTCTTATTGTGGCCAGACTTGGACTCAGTTATCTGAAGAGGATTCCCATGATGACCTAATAAAGGCTCCAGCAAAACCTGAGGTCTTCATTTATTTCCTCACTGACTCTATTACAAAGCCCCTCAAACACTGCAGATACAAAGTGAGCCATGGTTTAGTGCACTGCAAGTCAATTTGCACACACTAATGATATGTTAAAATGTACCATTACCGTAATTGAGGCCATGCAATATAAACAAATAAACTTGCATTCCTATTGCTGGGTGACAGCAACAGAGGCGTGCAACAGGACATGATGTGGTGTAAGAGGAAACATTTTCAAAATGCTGTGATGCAGGAAGTAATACCACAGGGGATTGGCGAGGTGTGTGTCTTGAGTGTTTCTGTGAAAGTGTATGTGAGGAGCGGGGGAGAAAGAGCAGTGGGTTATCACGTGTCAAGCAAATTTTGTAGGGACTATTGAGTCCACAAGATGGCGCATAAATGCAATAATGAGGGTGAAATAACTACATTAGTGTCTGCAACTGTAGTCAGTATTGCACGCTCTCTTTGGGGCTGGAAGTCGTTGTTGTGATTGCTCTCACTGACCCCTGATGGAGATGATTGATATAAGAGTCAAATCAGCAAACTCCTTCAGCAAAACAATCATACGTAAACTAGATTTTATCTAGTTTCATGACAACATGATGCACTGAGGACTCACCTCATTCATTCCCCACATGATCATACAGCACTGCAGCACGTCTTTCTCCAGAATGCTTTAAGGTTTTATCTTACAGTATAAAGCATTGTCAGTTGACTATTGTTTTGATTTAACACTACATAAATAAACCCAAATTAAACTGGACCTGAATTATCCACAAACATACATTTGTCTGTGTTGTACAGGATTTTATAGAAAACTTTTGCTGGAAAGTTGCTGCATGAATCAATTAATGAATAAGTTCCTCTATAGAACTAGAGTTCGTTTGGGGCATCTAAGCTTCCTAAATGCCTAAGAGAAGAGTTATTTCAGTAATATGCACCTATAACAGTGATATATTTACATATGTAAATTTGTTTTTTCCAGCAGAAAGCAATGAAGGGTGAGTTCAGTTTCCCACTAGTGATGGAGCATCTCCAACAGAAGTATGTGGTGATATTTAAACCTAACAAACAGAATTTTATGCAAATGAAAAGAAATGTGAACAGTACAGTTCACTGCAGTACAATTGGAGAATAAAGGTTTTTGCATAATCTTAATGTAAAAATCCACCACTAAGCAGATACAGGACAACTTTACCACGAAGTAAAACTCTCTACAGGAGCGTTACGCTCTGTCGCAGGTAGAATTGTATTTATTTTTAGGTTTTTAATGAACAGTTATCACCACTAGGGGCTCCAGTGTGTTAGCCTATTGTACTTGTAAAAATACACACAGTGATTTTATGGAAATGATACTTCCATGTCAAACTGCCCCTTATCACATTATACTATTGTCTTGCCGATGCTCCTTTTTTTTTAAAGCAAACCACTGAAAAACTTTTATTGCAAATGAGGAACAAAGCAAATGTTTGCCTTATTTCACTCTGAGATTAGGTCTGGGAAGTTTTTTTTTTTTTTATTAAAAAAGAAAAAGCAGCTGCCATAGGACAGAAGCAGGGTGCAGTCTAGACAGGCTGCCAGTCTGTGGCAGGGTTAACACAGAGACACACACAAACATGCACACCTGTGAAATGGTGAAAAACAACAGTCATCACACGCAAGTCACATCTGCACTGAAAAACTATGTGTGTAGGCCATAAATAAAAGGATCAAAAGCAATAAAAATGTACCTCACTTGAGTTCTTTTAAGGACAGGCTTATGGCTACGTTCCAAAACACACTCAGCTATTAAGAGATTTGGCGAAGGGCTGCAGCTATCCGACAGAAAATGCATTAAAATTTGTGCCCCTCACAACTGAGTCATCAGCTTGGAGACTAATCCACAAGGTCTGTCTTTGCCTGTGGAGATGCCACATGAAGAGCGAACAGGAGCTGCAAGTCGACGCCCAACTCCATCAACCACTGAAACAACCAACAAACAAAATCCCCCCTTGCAGTCTTCAAATTGTTACTTCAAAGCCCCCAACTTCCTCTTCTGTGGTTAAAGTGTTACAGTGTGTGTGTGTGTGTGTGTGTAATGTATCAAGGCCAGATTTTTAACACCTACAGTAATGAGGAAACTAATACGAGTTAATCGTGTAACATCAACTTTACAGTAAGTTTCGTTAGTGGTGGAACAGTCTCTATATCGTCATTTTTATTCAGCAACGCACATTCATTAACATGAGCGTTTAAAAATGTGCAGTTGGTGTCTGTGTACAGCCGGCAGGTCGTTCAATCACAGACACTTCTTGGTAAATTCACTCTAATCAGATGAACTTTCAAAAAAACAAGTCTGGTGTTCAATAAAGATCAAACCTGCAGACAGCTGTGGTTACAGCGGTTGGTGTTTGAGCTCCAGCTGCTCACGGTGAACTATTGTAAACTATTGTTTGCTTCTTGAAATATGTTTTATTAGGCCATTCTTTGCAGTCTGTTAGTGGTAATGTGCGATAATTCACAATCACAGTCACGCACAGGGAAGCTGGCATGCACGTGGACCTAAAACGATGGCTCCTTTTATTTGAAATAACATTGTGTTTATTCAATCGTGAATATATCTTATCTTCTAATCTGCAGATGTCTGTGGACATGCAGGATACTGAGTGTTGTTTCTTAGAAGAAAAGTTGCTGCTGGAATTCTTAGAAGTTCAGATGTTTTTTGATGTCGTGTTGAGCACTCCTGAACCTGTTCATACAAGATGAATGTTGCAAAACAGCAGAAAAGAAGAAAAATACATTTATGTGTAATGAAAAGTGAAAAAAGAGTGCTGTTTGTTTTTCCGTGTTCTAAATTTAAACTTTAATTTGTCCTCTAAGAGAAACAGGATGTAAGAGTCTATGTTCTCCCCCAGAATATGAAGGAAACTATTTACTCTTCCTGACTTTACCCACATCATGTGAGTGACATCCTCCTCACAGTCTGCACCACATGTCCATGAACCCCTTTGAAGTCTTCCGTTACGGGAGGCGCTTATGATACTGAAGCTAGATAAATTGGTGTTGGTGTAAGTTCCTGTCTACAGTTTCCTCCAGGCAGGCACAGAAGCTGTCACTTGTGTAGAAGTGTAGAGTTTAGGCTTTACATCACAGGGGCAGCTGAAAAAAACGCACACACAGAAAGGTCAAAGCCCAAGCGCCGTCGCAAGAGGCCTCCGAGCAGCCTAACGCTTCCATCATGGGTGAAAACACCATCACGAAGCCTCTCGGGCTAGTTTTTATCATCACAGCTCACATGGTGTTCAACGGTAAGCCGTCTCATTCGTAACTGTTTTACTCCGTGACGTGTGAGAGGTTTTGTGTCCTGGCAGCGCATGATGAACTTGACTGTCTGTTACATTTATTGCTCCCTGATTCCTCTGACAGTTAGTTAATGCACTGAATATTTTGTATGTAACTCGTTGTAGTAGGTCTCTAATGACAACTCAGTTTCCCCCACTCAATTACCATTACTGAATCATAATTGGGGAGTTCCACGAAGCTCTGGTTTTGTGACTCAACTTTATTTGTCGGTAACCCTGTTTCCACAAGTGGTTTGTTCTAAGTTTTGCTGCGGTATCTGTTAGAGTTTTATCACAGACGAGCGATATTAAAACAGGGAACTGGGTGTTTCAAAAATGTTGAAAACACTGACACATTCTGGATAAAACACTGTGTGCTTGTGTCTGAGGTGAAAAAGGCATTGCAGCAAATTAAAGTTAGTCTGAGGCATTGTGAATTTAGCCCTGGCTCATAATGTGTACGTTCTGATGTTAAACAAATATAGCAATCACACTTTTATGATGCCAAAAACAAGCGATCGTACTAATACCACATGCAAGCCCTCAAATCATTATGGAGACATCCGCAGGTGCTTCACACATGTTTAGAGAAAAAACTTGAAAAATAACTTAACTTAAAATAGATATTTAACATAGATACACAGATAGAAAACGCTGATTTGGGCTGATTAATTTGGAAAAAGACAACGCAGTAGCTCCAGTCCCCCCGCCGTTCTGAACTTAATAAACAGAAGAGAATAGAAGGATAGTGTCTTCACCTTTTAGCGTATAATAGAATATATTTGAACTTTATTTGTTTCCGTTACTGTTTTTAGTAGGTGTCCAAACACCTAGACTCCTGTTTAAATATAAGTACTTGCTATTTAAAGGATTCTAATCAACAAATCACATAGTTTCTACAGAAGACAGACTTTCAAACAGAGGAGATGACACATCTAAGAAAAGTTACTTATCTCATTTCTATATGTGAGCTAACACTGAACTTTAGACACAGATGGCAGCTAGATAAATCAGGTAAATCAGTCTGAACTTCGCCTTGGTGCTGTTGCTGGTGGCTATATGGCTGTGTAGACTGATCCAGCACTGCTGGCCTTTTACTGTGGCGGCTTAGCGTAGTTTAAACACTACCCTGTAGTTTTACTGTCAGTGATGGAAAGTAACTGTGGAACTTGCACTGAGGTAGTGAGCAGAAGGGAAAAGTGACCCGCCTGTTTCCTTTGTGGAGAGGATCAGCCGTCCTGTGCTGCTTCTGTGGCTTTTAGGTTTTTGAGGATTAAACCAACTGATGTCTCTAACACAGAATATGTCACATGGACTATTCTGTTTTCACTACTGCTTTCTTCCAGCTACCCACAGCTTACACTGTATACTGAAGAGCATCAGTTTAAAATACTATAGGATATATATATATATATATATACACACACACATATATAAATACAGAGACGAATATAAATAAAATATACGAAGGGAATAAATAGAATAGATAGGAATAAAAATAAAAATACAAGTGAATTGCACATTTCAAGTATTGAGGTCTATTGCACCATTGACAATTTACAAAAGTATTGCACAAAGGTATTGCACAGTGAGGTGAAGAGGCACTACAGCTCAGTGTTTATAATGCAAATCTGCTCTTCTGTCTCCATACAGACCCCAGCCATGCACAAGTCATCGGGATCTTTGGCAGCAACATCACCCTTCAATTTACATTTAATGTTAGCATTAATGTAAACAGTCAAATTGGAATTTATATAACAGGCGAGAAAAAGATTGACGATTTTAAAAGTTGGAAAGGTTCCTTTGTTATTTGCCCCCAAAACAATTCTGTCTTTTACCACATCATAAATCTCACTCTAAACCACACTAACACCTACTGGGCCAGTTTATTTGGGGGCAACCTAAGAAAAAGTAATGAAGTGAAGCTGACTGTTGAAGAAAGGAACATAAGCTGTACAGGTAAGGACATTCGTTATCATTATAAGCTGCACATAATGAAAACGACTTTAACACACAGTAGAGCAATATCAAGAGCAGACTAAAGTGAAGTATGTTTCCATTATATTCATACAAACAGAGCAGCCATATATAGTATACACTAATTCCTCACCACCTTTACTTTCTCAATGTTTGCCTCTTTATTATAGATCCTGTAATAAATGACATCATCATTCCTAATATCTTTTAAAATACTATTCCAAATTAAAATGATCACTTTAATTAATTGTGTCTCCTAGTATTGACTGCATTAAATATAAAAACCATATAGTGTGTATAAGTGTCATGGATCCAAGGTTGTTGTTAACCAGTTAGTGAAAAGTTTAAAGCCCATATGAAAATAAGTCACTAACACACTATTAAAACAGTAGAACAAATTAAATATGATTGTCACAGAGTCCTGCAGGTTATGTTTTTGCCACATTGTTGATAAAGGCTCAGTTAGAACAGAAATATTTAAATAAACAAACAAAAATAGCTCCTCGTTCTCAGATCATATTGCTGAGCATTTAAAGGATAGGTGACATTCAGTCAGTCCCATCTGCTGTAGATACTTACCAGAGCAGTAGGGCAATAATACTGCCTTCCTTTCCTAGCCTGTTTGAATAAAAAGCACTCTGTTGCTTTGACCTAAATGCTAAATACTGATGTCACCATGCTAGCATCTTGCTATCCAGCAGGCGTACATTAACCAGCTTTACAATCTAGGCAATCAAAGCTATCTAGCGTGTCAACATGTTCTAGCGTTAAATATAAATTATGTTTGCAAATATTTGGTCAGAACTGGGCTACTGTGCAAATTTACCTCTCTACCTGACAAGGAAGCCTGCTTGAAAATCAGGCACATCAAAGGGTTTGCAGTGCATTCACGGGGGACACAAACAGCAGTGTCAGTTACATTTATCCTCACAGAATCGCAATTTGCGTCATTCGTGGAGCTGCTGAGATGTTTGAGCGTAAAGCAGCTGATATGAGATTGACTGATGTACAGTCCCATTATAGATAAAATAATGAGCCTTTTGTAACTGCTTGGTTACTATTCACATATTCAGTATGTTATTTGTTATTGATTACAGAAAAACTGAATACTGATCACTGTTTCACATTCTCATTGGTTTACAGTGTCAGCTTACAGCCCATAAGAAAGAGTCGAAGTGTGTAATTTTACTGCCTACCATGCTTTATTTCTGTTGCTGATGTATGTTATAAATATGTATTATACTGCATTAGTCTATATGTACTGGGGAAATATGCATAGATCCATTGGGATCTAAACTTATTCAGTATCTTTAATCATTTTTATTTTTTGTTTCATTTCTTTTCATAAACGTGGTGCGAAAATATGAGTGAAGCTCACATATTTTCATGACTTTCTTTTAACTCCTACAGCTCCACCGCCGTCGACTAAACCCACAGTTTTCAATGAAAGTTCCAATTCCCTTTCCATCAATAAGATCATCATCATCTTTGCGGTTTTACCTGTGGTCCTGTTAGCAACAGTACTCCCATGGTTGATCTGTAGTCTCGTGAGACCCAAAGGTAAGCAAATATATGGTCCAAAAACAATCTTTACCTTCACTTTTCACTGATATGTTGTGTTGTGTCTGTTATCAGATTGTGGCCAAAACTTTTATTATTTTTTGGAGACGTAGGATTTTATTTCATTTCCATGCTGTAGTCTGAACGTAGTGTCAGCTGAGTTGGAATAAAACACATCAGGAACCTTTAATTCAATATTCTCCACATATAAATAGTAAAGGGGTATGAAGCCAAATTGCGTGTGCGGGGCTGCAGTCAGTAGTATTTTCTAGTTTTTCAAGCAAACAAAGTAATGGTAAGGAAACACTTGTTATTCTGTGGAAAAAATTTGCAGTTGTGTGGTTAGATGCTCAAAAATGCAAACCAGATTGCAGTTTCACATCCTTCTGATAGATGCGATGATTCATCTCTTTTGAAAATAAGTCCTCCTTCAGTGCATGTAAATCTAATTGTGCCTACTATCACTGAGAGATGGGTGGAAAGAAAGAGCTTGCATTATTTGTTCACTAATACGAGTGCGCTTTCACTTCAAAGACAAACCCCTCTGGCCTACTTTGAGTAGGAACGCTGCCACGCTTAAATAATCTGACAGCCCCCGTGACCTCAGAAACCGCACTAGAAGAGTTCCCGTACATGTATACAAATGCAAGCAATTGCTGACTGCGCACTCCTGCATCGTGCCGTGCTAATTGGGCCCGGCCGCTGTCCACGAGTAGAGGTTTTGCACAAAACCGACAGATGCTGAAGAGAAACTGCTCTCTGTCTTTGGCAACTTGTCCTGGTGCATTTGCACCGCTAGAGGATAAAGACAACGTGACTTGTTCGGCATAAACTTACAAAAAGCTTAGACCTAAAACTATATTATAAAAGTCAGGCTTGACTAAAACATTTAGTCACAAACTTTAGTTAAACTAAAACAAAATTAAAACATTTTACTTTAGCACAGCTTATTATAATCATTATTCGTTGAAAAAATATTGTTAAGCATGAAATTTTTTGTCGTCCATAATTTTGGCTTGCTATCACTTAATCTGAATGCTAATTTGTTTAATTAATGGTATTTATGTAAGAATATCGATAGCTTTTTTTATATCTTTTTCCAGAGGCGGGATCAGGAGGTGATGCTAAGCCTAGCTTAGCATTAAGTAAGTAAAAAGCATCGTAACTCTGTGTAAAGGTAACAAAATGCTGATATTAGCGTAAAAAAAGCTCAGGAATAAACATGCAATCTCATCATTGAGCTCAGTAACTGAACATTAACATTATCATTGCAATGATAATATTTAGTTTGTGTTTAGTCTAAACCGGCAAAGCGAAACCCGGTCTCCTGCGCAACAGCACAAACACTCTATGTGGTTACAACGTATTTGACGTGGATTCGTGCTTTTGATGTATTTGACGGTTAATTGCTTTATTTTTATGAACGTCTAACGTTTTTTTTCCTTATCTGATGAATCAGAAACTTATCTTGGATGTTATTTCCTTTATACTCCTGGGTGCTGTGGCATACTCCTACTCCCTACTTCCTATGAGCTAAAAAATTCCAAAACATGCGGCATTTATGTCTTTAATATTGAGATTTGACTATTTTCACACTTTTTTAAAAGTATGACAATGGAAAATATGTAAATCGGGGATAAACTGACGTGGTTGACGGGCTGTAACAATAAATTTGATAAGAAATTTTTTATTCGAACGTCCCACAAATGCTTCTTCTGCAAAACTCAAAATATAGTATACATGACCGATTTCACCTAGTTTGTAACATTTCACCTGCTTTTCTTCTCATGCAGACAAACAACAGCAACAACAAGAAAGGCCGCAAAGCTCCACTCCCACAGTGCAGGTAAGAAAGATTTTGATCTGCTGTTAGAGAAAAAAAAAGCCTGGAAATTCTTCAGCCTGACTCGAGTTGCCTTCGCAGGAATCAGTGGCGTCGTTGAGCAGCGTGTCTGCACCCTCGGTGATCTACAGCGTCTTGGACTTCCCCAAAAGACCTCCGACAATTGTTGAGATCAACCCAAGAGATACAGAGTATGCTGCCGTCAGCTATCTCACAGAAAAGAGACACATGTGATGCACAGCTCACTGTTCGACTAGTGTACATAACATAAATCTAAATATATATAAATATAAATTTCTTGCAAGTGTTAAAAATCCTGCTTTTGTTATACAGGGATGTCTTATTGCACTATATCTCAAACAAAAGAGTTGAGAGAGGAAGAGTCTGCATGGGTAGTGTGTATGTAGGTGTCACTTTGTGTTTGGTGGTCTCGAAATTGAGATGCATGCTGCTGCGGCAAACCTCAAGCCAGAACATAATACAGTTACAGTGACAACCCAGCCTCGCAGTTAGCTTTCAATTTTTCTTTGCTGTTAATTTGTGTCGGGGGTATCCGGCCGCTAAGGAACAGGCGATAAATTAGATTTTAGATTTTCTTCAGACCAGAAACACAAAGCAAGCACTTCCTGTGTACCCAGTGTCTACTGTACATCACTGCTCTGGGTCTCACTGTGTTTAATAGCTTCAGTGAACCACACTGATGCACTAGGTGATAACACAGGAGATGTAGTGACCCCTACAAACTTTGCTCCCTCTGTAGAGCACCAAATTTAGGTTGTTCTACCACTGAAATAGCCTCACTTCTGTTGACTAAAAACTACACTGAACAATTCTGATGCTTTTAATATTTAAAAATCTTTAAAAACCTGCCAACTAAGCACATGAATTTAGAGACAGCTTTGGAAATGTGGATATCCAAACCTGTTTGAATGGGATATGTTACCAAAACTCTGCAGCTGACACTGTCTTAAGTTATAAAAGTATCCCAAATGACAGAAATAACTAAAGCATGGTATCCTTTGTTAGTTCCTGTAAAACAGGGATGCCAAATTAATTTTACATCATGGGCCACAGACAGCCCACCAGTGAAACTACATGATAAATATGTAGACTAGAATCAATTACTAATATCTACACTTAATCACTCTGGTGTGGTATGAATGTCAGTTCCTATTTATCAGTTGGAAAAGCTACAAAACTCACACTTTGTAGTTTTGTAGCTTTTCAGTTAAAACTACAAAATCTTGCAAAGCTGTCCTGTAGGCCATATTGGAGTCTTTGCTAGGCCAAATCTGGACCCCAGACCTTATATTTGATGCCCCTGCTATAGAACCATAAATGACCTTGTAAGTGGAAGAATGGGAGTTTTCCACTTTAAACGAATGCCTAAATCCACATGTGGCCGTGATTACACCTCCGAGTTCACTTGGAGTCTGGTTGAAGGAAGTGCGTGCTGGCACGTGCCGTTGGTGTCACTGTATTGTAGTGGCTCATGAGAATCCCAGCACTTACTTGCACACTCTTGTAGATGCAGAACATATAATAAAGGTGTTATGCAGCAAGAAAATAATGCAAAACTTTCACTCGCTGTTTCTATAATTTAAGAACCAAAACCACTTGGTTAGTGTGATGAAGAGTGTGACACATGCCAGTAAGCTCAAATTTCTAAATTACCAAGTTGATAATTTCAGATACAATTTGCACAATCAAACAGCTGCTAGAGGTCAGTTTTAAAATGGGTCCCAATAAGTGGCTGCACACAGAAACTAGGGGCTTTTATTTTGTTTGAGTGGAAAGTTTTGACTGAGAATGCATCATCATGCAATCCCAGGCTGAAAGGTTTTACACTTTGATGACATTTCCAACATGAAAACCTTTCATTTTCCGCTTCACCTCATCTCCAGAATTCATCTTCACTCCCATGCTGATAATCGCGTGAGAGCTTAACAAGCTCACTTTTGACTTTCAGGTTTAGTGACTTCTTTTGCATCGGGGTATTTATCACAACACGGAGGAAAACGTTTCAGGGACACGTCCATACATGCTTATAGATCAGTTATAGACCTTTCAGCTTATCAGTACTGTATATTCAAAGGTCACTGGTGATTTTTCCATGAGCTGCTGCATCAGCTCGCCACTATCATGCAAATCTGACAACAACAATCTGACACTATGTGCAATAACTGCATGCATGGCCTCTGAAGTTCTCTTTTTGAAAGCTTATTGATGTCTTTGATTTACTCAGTTCTCATACATCTTTATCATATGTTAAAAATGTATTCTCTGGTTTATTATTCACCAGCTACTCAGAGAAAGAGCAAGTTCATTTTGAAATCCAGCAAGCTTTCAAAATGTACCGTCCTGTCACGTGCTACTTTATTACATACTGCTGAACTGTTTCTAATTGAAATACGCAGTTTTTAAGATGTAAATGGATGTAAAATTATCAACTTTATTGTGTGTGTGTATGTGTGTATAAATACTGTCTTCAGTTCCTGAATGTACTGTACTGGATCTGTGTCACAGAAGGAACAGAAACTGCTCTTTATTTTGATGGCAGCGGTGCATGCTGGGAGATGTGTAAAATAAGTCTTCAGAGTGTTGTTTTGTTTTTAAAAAAATCAAATATTTCTGAATTCTTATCCTGTAAAAACACCTCTAAAATAAAAAAAAAAGTTTACCTGAGATTCTGGTTTTCTTTATGGTTTTAGTAACTAAAGTTGACGCTCACCACACACAGTTGTGTATTTAAAGAATGCACTGTTTTATCTTCTAGTCTGTGTTACAGTAGGTCGTAGAGTCTTTGGCATGTAAAAATAAGCAGTATTTTAGCACGTTGCAGGGACTTACCCAAGTAAATCACCTATAACGCCAACTTTATTTTTCTGTCAAGACCACGTAATAAAGCGTGATCTTAGGTTATACACAGACGTGGATGCTTTTTCACCTTAGAATAAACTGAAACCTACACCGAAACATTGCAAAGTGTCTTTTAGTGTGCTAAAAGACTTTCGTTTTTAGTGATGCCCCAAACAGGCGTACGGCATCAGCCCTGCAAGGCTTTTGCTACCTGTATTGGCTGATTGGAGTAGGAGGCTGAATGGAAACCACTCAAATGACTGATGAGACAAAAATAAATTCTTTGGGTAGAACCTGAAGCGCTGCGTCTGGTAAACACCCTTCTGCTTAACCCCGAGATGACTGAGATGAAATATTATCTTGACAGCATCACGCTGTTCACACTTCTCATCAGCAGGGACAGTGAGACTGGTTAGAGCACACAAGGAAATGAAAGCAGCAAAATACAGAGAGGTGTTTGAAGAAAAGCAGAGCGACGCGCAGGTCTGGAGCAGCGTGTCTTAGGTTGCATATTTGACTCATACAGATTGTTCCGAAGCCAAGGGACCCTGATGGCAAATCCACAGACATCTTTGAATTTAAGCCTCATTCTTTGGAAACCCAGAAGGGCCCCAGCTGAAAATCTAAGGCTTTGAAGTGACATATGGGAGTCTGCATTTCTGATAACGCAGCACAGTGCAGTCTCATACGAACAAGTATAATGAAATCATACAAATCAATCATAAGAAGATCTTAAAATAAATTCTAAAAGATGAGCGAAGCGCAGTCAATAGAGGTGATGTGATGCCATCTGCTGAAACTAGTATGTGACCATCAACCATCAGTATGTGACTGAACTGCAGACTTTATCTTTTATTTGAGATATTAAGCATCACGCCCCCCACCCTCAATGACCGCCTGAAGTCTGGAGCCCATGGATATCACCAGTTGCTTTGTTTCCTCCTCTTTGATGCTCTGGCAGGCCTTTCCTGCAGCCGCCTTCACTTAGTGCTTATTTGTGTATTTATTAACTGATAAGCAGCTCTCTTGGGTTCCGATTAGGTGGTTGATTTGACTTTTTCATCGCCTTGAGAAACCTTTGGGTTGCTTTTGCAGTTTGCAGTGCTTTGGGTCTTTATCCATCTGCACTGTTTGCGGCATTTGTGAATGTGAGCATTGAGTGCTCCTTCACCTGCATCAGCATCTCTTTTGACCTCAGAATAATGAGAGTTCAAGCAAACAGCTACCAAATACAAGTTCCACTGCAGATGTGGAATAACTGTCAGTCTGTGGTAGTGAGTCTCTGAAGTCGGTGTGCTGTATATAAAAGAAAAGTTGTCTTATTTTCCAGATCCTTGTGGACCTAACTGTAAACATGCAGTTTCAAATGATAAATTTCAGGTTTTGGTTATAATACATTTTGCAAAAGTGCATCAGTTAAAGTTAACTCTACAACAAAAATATTTTGCACACTGTCAATCTAAAATCCAGATGAAGTAACAAGCACATCTAAAGTTTGATCAAAAGGAGAACACTTGGTCTATCCGGTGGTACAGCCACAATAACTGAGCTCAGTGTGTTTGGAGTAAACACTTAAGCTGATCACTCGGTGAGTGAGTTTCTGCCTCCCACGTGCTTGAGGTAAAGGCTTCATTGTTTTCTGTTTGTGTGCATGTTTGCTGCTGCACTCAAGCAGTGGCCTGAGCAAATAATGTGTCTGCACTTTGCACTTCTTAACACCCACCTCTACTGTATCGAGGTTTCTCATAAAAAAAACAACAACCCTACATTGCATTTTCACAAGTGAGACATTGCATTTTCTAACCCAGTGCATCAAGAACGCAGAAAGTGCAACCTTTGATTTAAACTTGTGTGTCATCATTTTGATATAACTGACAGATAGATAGATAGATAGATAGATAGATAGATAGATAGATAGATAGATAGATAGATAGATAGATAGATAGATAGATAGATAGATAGATAGATAGATA